TTTTTTTTTTTTTTTTTTTAAATTGCAATAGGGTGAAAAAGTTGAGGGGCTTCAAGCACAGGCTTTGTATCCTTGGAGAGCGAAAAAAGACAACCACCTTAATTTCAACAAAAACGATATCATCACAGTTTTGGAGCAGCAAGACATGTGGTGGTTTGGAGAGGTTCAAGGACAAAAGGGGTGGTTTCCTAAATCATATGTGAAACTTATTTCAGGCCCCATTAGGAAGTCAACGAGGTATTTTATTTGCTTTTACCGTACTTTACTTTTATACTGTAATAGTTAAATAAATATAAAAGTTTGCATACTTGAATTTCGAAGTGTAGAATCTACTCTGTAAAAGTGTTTTGGGATGTTTTTTGGGGTTTTTTGTGGAGTTTTTTTATATGACTTTCTTGTGGGGGTTTTGACTTCCAACCCTGGAAATTCATGTGAGGAATAAGAAAATTGACCTCAGTTCTCCTTGGGTCACCACCCACAAAAGATCCAAAGCTTAATTAATGGTCTTGATTTTGTGACTTGCAACTAAAAAATTAGTGTATTGGATTTTATGAGTTACAGCTGTGTAAGTCATGGCTTATCTTTCCCCAAAATCAAAGGTATACTTCAAAACTTAATCACCTATTGTTATTCTTGGAGGATAAAACAATCAAAATCTGGTTCTGTGTAATGTGAAGGCAACATTAACATTAGTAATACAAATGAGAGTGATTTTAGATGGGTTTTTTTGCTGAGGGAGAAGAGGAGGTGCAGAAACTTGTGTATTTTAAGACAGATGATACCTAAACATAACCATGACTGGCCTTTGTACTTAAAAAACTTTATTTTGCACATTTACTGCCTTTTCTTTTAAAATTTAGGGAATTGCTTATAGATGCATATGCATTTTTTTAGTTTTTAAATATAATAATTTTTCTGAAGAGATTTAATTTCTTAACCATTATTTTCTTCTAAAGCATGGATTCTGGTTCCTCAGAAAGTCCCGCTAGTCTGAAAAGAGTAGCATCACCAGCAACAAAAGCAACTATGTCAGGTGAAGGTAAGCATTTCAAACTGAATGTCATTAACAGTATTTTACTATGTAATTAAATAGACTAAGTTTACTTATTACCAGAAGCAAGCTTAGAATCAGATCTTAGTGTTTTAAGATCGAGCCTGTTAAAATTGAAGTGCAAATCAATTTGCCTCTAGCATGAGTTTAAATTATTATGGTAAGAATTTATATATGTTGTGTATATAGAAGAAATAATTTCACATGCCATTAAAATATCTTCTGTAGTTTGTACTGTTTCTTGTATAAATATGTTGGTAACAATTCCTGATCTGGAATGGATTTTTGCCAAAGAAGGCCAAATAAGCACACGCCTACTTCATGATGTCAGAAATTATTAACAAATGTCTCAATTTCACCCAAAGCTCATTTCCAATGTTTCATTGAAGCTCTTTCATTAAGAAATTACAGTCAGTTATAGAACGTTGTGATCCTTATGGGCAAGGCTACCCCTCATTTTGAAAGATGGAGCCTGGAGCACAGACAGATAATTGTCAGGCCTCTGAAGGGTTTTAAAAGATGCATTCCTGGTCGGTACCACCCTTCAGCTGGTGGTTAATGTCTCCACACACAAGAGCTGTGTTAATGGGCTGTGTGGGCACTTTTAATCCACTTCACTGCAGAGTCAGCTAGGTTAATTTAAATTGCAGTCAGAGTAAATCAATGAATCTAAATATAGGTTATAAATGAACATTTGTATATAATCTCTACAGCACACCTTACGGTTTTTAACTACGATTCTACATACAACTTTAAGAGTCTCATTGGTTACTGATGTATTTAATTTGCCACTGGCCTGAACACTACAGAAATTAAAAGGAGGGGATGGTAAAGATCCATGTAACGAGGAAAGTAAGATAATCAGTTATTTCAAAATACAACTATTCTTGCTCACTATATACTTGAAGAAAAGCAATTGTAGAAATGCTAAGTCTTTTTTTGTAAAATATGGAATATCTCAGGTTATATGTCTGTATTAAAAAGGAACACAACTTTTTCATAAAACATTTCAAAAAAAGCTGTATTTTTAAGAAATAACAAAGCATGGGTTTAGCATCTTCTATTACATTTAAAGGATTTAAGAAAAATTTCATATGTATAGCATACATTATGATTTTTAAACTCTGTCTTCATGTGTATGTGCATACACACAGATGTGCATTCTTCAGCTGCAGTTGTTAGACAAACCATGTCTTAGCTTTCATTAAGGATAGTAATTGTGGTTTGAATTCTTGCTGAACTTCCCTGAGCTAAGCATTTTGGTCAGATTTCATGTTCAAGCAGATAGAACAATTGCCAGCTGCAGTGGAATACTTGAACGCTTTTGTTGCATATGCATGAAAGTCTTCCTGAAATATTGTGAACTGCTCTTAGGTTGGGAGCTGGTCCTAGAAGCAGAGGATGTAATCTTCAGAAATCTGTTTTGTGCCCATATAAAGTGTGATAATGCTCAGTTAAATAAGAAATAAGAATGTATCAAGTTCTACAGAAAATGTGACCGAATTGTCTGAAAATCTTCTTTGTAATCATTTATGTAAAAATTTTTTGTGTAGTTGCATTGCGTTTCTCAACATCAGTCTACTTTAGTGTTTTTGCACTTGAATACTAAGTAGTTGACTGTGTTTTAACAAAACAGAACACATTCAGGCTTTGTCTTAACATTTCCCAGCCATCTGTTGCGAAAGATGCAATGAGATGTGGGCCCTTCATGCAAAGCTTCAAGTAATGAAAGAATTCATTGTATACGAGAGCCAAACAGCATATGTAAAACGAAGACTGTATCTACAGATATTTGGATACTGAAACTTTCCATGCCCAAGACTGAAAATTCTAATCATCAGTGTAAAAGAGAAACCATTTGGAAACATGTTTTCAGAGTAGTTTCTGATATAAATTAATAATGTATGTACATTTAAATTACACTAGCAAATTATTTTACAAAAAAAAAATAATCCCCAGAAGCAGCCTTTAGATAGATTGTATTTAGTCCTGATAGACACCATTTTATGCATTAAATATTGAGGTTTCTATGAATAGTAATTAATAAATTTGTCTTCTGTCTAGCTCGTAGATAGACTACGTTATATTAGTTAGGTTCTGCAGATGGTAATTGAGCAGTTTATCAAGTGTTTTCCCATGTTCTCTATTTATTTCCCTCTTACAGAGTACATTGCTATGTATACTTATGAGAGTTCTGAACAAGGAGACCTAACTTTTCAACAAGGTGATATGATTCTTGTGACAAAGAAAGATGGCGACTGGTGGACAGGAACCCTGGGTGATAAATCAGGAGTTTTCCCATCTAATTATGTGAGACTCAAAGATTCCGAGGTAGAGGCATATTGAAATGTTATAAAATTGAGCTGGGGGAGGTATGTTTTATTTGGTGGTGTAGTGATAGTTGCAACCCAGTGGATCATGAGAGAAGGAAAAATATTTTGCAGTTTTACTGAATGTGAGATTGGAAAGGGAAAACAATTATAGTTGCACTTTACAACATAATGTTGTAAATAACTTTGTGGATCACGTATTAAAATGAATCTTGCATATGTTAATAGAATAGCTGACGACTTTGTTCCCCAGGTAAGTTTTTAATCACTGAGTTGTATCTCACTACCATTATTTTTACAAAAAGATAGAGTAATATTTCAGTCTATTATCTTTTTTTTTTTCTTCCCTACTGTCACTTTCTTCCAATCAAGGGTAACAAATTTCACAACAAAACTTAGCAAACTACCATATTTATTTGAAAGTTCTTGACTGAATTATAGAAGTTCTGTTTCATCTGATTTTTATTCTGGAATAATCTAATAGAACGTGTCCGTATTACATTATTTTTCTTTCTTTTTAGGCAATCTAAAGAAAGACGTTTTCTCGTTTATATTCATCATCTGTTTGAGAGGATAATTCATCTACTAGTAGGAATTAGCTTGGAGTCATAGTTGAATACAGTACTAATCTCTTGATGAGAAAGAGTTCTTGTTTATGTCCCTCAGAGTAATAGGGATTTTAAAAATAAATAAGTAAAAATTACTGGATTTTTAGAAATCTGGGTGGTAAGGCTTTATCCACAAGTCTTGAATTCTATGCATATGTGACACAATTTAATGAAAGATTGTGCCTGCAATATAGAGCTTGAGCAAAGTCACTCCTTAAAATTATTTCTGTTGGTGGAAAAGCCAAAGAATAAAACCTGCAGTGAAATATGTAGCTGTAGAAAGCCTTTATATAACGAATTTCTAGATAGAAGAGAAATTTCAATAACATCCTCTGAGACAGGATTAAAAAAAATTGTAGTTAATGATATTTAGTATTGCAGTCCTTGGGAGAAATAGTATTGTGCTATTGCTTTCAGAAACATTTTAGAAACTCTTCTCATTTATTTTTTGCATCATGTAACAATTTTCTTCAATCCCTAGCACTACTAGTTTGAGAACTAATCAGTCTTATACTGGAGAAGTTCCGCCTCACTTTTGATTAGTTGTTCCATTGTGTTGTGAAGTACATTTTTCTGTGCACATTAAGACTGTGGTTTTATAGAACAGTATCATGGAATCATTTAGGTTGGAAAAGACCTTTAAGATCATCAAGTCCAACCGTTAACCTAGCACTGCCAAGTCCACCACTAAACCTCCAGGACTGGTGACTCAACCACTTCCCTGGGCAGCCTGTTCCAGTGCTTGATAACCCTTGCGGTGATGAAATTTTTCATAATATCCAATCTAAACCTCCCCTGGTGCAACTTGAGGCCATTTCCTCTTGTCGTATCGCTTGTTACTTGGGAGAAGAGACCAACACCCACCTGGCTACAACCTCCTTTCAGGTAGCTGTAGAGAGCGACAAGGTCTCCCCTCAGCCTCCTTTTCTCCAGACTAAACAACCCCAGTTCCCTCAGCCGCTCCTTATAAGACTTGTGCTCTAGACCCTTCTCCAGCTTCGTTGCCCTTCTTTGGACACACTCCAGCACCTTGATGTCTTTCTTGTAGTGAGAGGGCCAAAACTTGAGCACAGTATTCAAGGTGCAGCCTCACCAGTGCTGAGTACGAAGGGACTTCCCTGGTCCTGCTGGCCACACTGTTTCTGAGACAAAATGATTGTATGTAACCCATTCTAAGTGAGCACAGGTACAGTCATACCTGCCACTGTCTTTCATCTGACATGTTAATAAGCAGGACAGTAAGCAGAGCAGAAAACTAGTCTAGCAGAAGTAATACATATGTCTAAGATGGTACTCTGAAGCAGCTCTGCTGCTGTTGGAAAAATGTCAGTACCAGAATTTGTACAGGAGGAGAATAGTGAAGGAGGCAAGATTGCCTCAGCATCAGCTTAGATTAGCTTGAGCTGGTTTTGAACTGTATCTTTAGTTGGCTTTTGTGTTAAATACTTCATTTTAGAAGCAAAACATCATACCTTACATTTAGTATATGGTTTTGGATATGCCTGTGCTCATTCCTACCTTTCAGTTGCATCAAATCTAGTGACTATGGAGCAGCAGATTAAGTTAGATCAGATCCCAGACTAGGAGAGGAGTACTTTAATGGTTCAGTTAGTGGAAGCATTGTAGCTGTAGCACTATGGAGCCCCTCACAGCAGGTGGCTTGCCTTTTTGACAATTAGAGTAAATTTTGTAGTGTAGTAAGTTGTGGTGTTAGGCAGGATGTAGATTTGCCCTGACAACAGAGCTCAGTGAGAGTCTGGACAAGAGATTCTGAACACTTTGTCCCCAAGTCTAGCAGCTTGATTCTCCTCTGAGCAGTGCAACATCCCTTCAGTTGTGGCAGTGGAGGTGTTTGCGGATCTGTATCAGGGGATTTACCTGGTTAAGAAAAGCACTGCTTTTTGCAGTCCAAGATGTGGATTATCGTTCAGCCCTACCAGTAATTCTTCACATACATCAAAAGATGGTGGCTTGCCCCACAGAGGTATCGAAACAAGTGTACAGATAATTCCCTAACCTGTGGAGTATCTTGTGGTCGTGAAACTGTGCCCTACGTCTATTTATATTACCTGTAAGTTTGTGTTGTAGTTGATGAGTGGGAACTTACACTGTCAGCCTCTAAAACCCTGTGAGGCCTGTTTTGTAGGTTGATAGTTGCTAATTAGTTACTTAACCTCAGCTACATTCTTGTTAGTTAATGTTAAGTTTCCTTTGAACTTTCGTGAAGGAACTGGTTTTGTTTCTCCGTAAGATATTCTCAACAGATTTTAGTCTCAAAACCTGGGAATATATATTCAGATGTGCAGAGCTGCCTTTTGTGTTCCTTAAGGACTGAATGCTTGTCCTGTCTGGTGAGAGACAGGCACACATATTGGCAAATCTTTGTAGAAAACTCAGGAATAGACATTTAATACTGAAAACTATTTTTATTAGAGAGGTCAATTTGATGTTTCTCTGATCTCAACTTGTCTGGGGTTGAAACAGCTAAGTGCAGTTCATCAAAAAGTGCTCCAACTGCCCTTTTTGCTGGTAAAAATCAAATCTTCAGATAAAATCTTGATGAGTGAGGGAGGAAAAAGCACAGAGCTCATGGAGATCTTGATATCCAGGATGCTTATTTTCATAAAGTGATTCATATACCCTGCAGGACATGTTTCTTGTTCCAAGTGGATAATTGCCATTACACATACGGTGTTTTGCTATTCAGCTCGTTCACAGAGCCAGTTTTCTACAAAGGATTTCACAATAGTGGCTGTCAACTTTCAGATGTGCCGCTGTGCTTGAACAGCTGGCTGATTGTGGAAAATGTTACTGAAAGAGTAAATTAATTGAATGTGTTCTGCGCTATTGACTTAGGCCTGAAGAAAAAGTAAGGCAATGCTGGTCTTCCAGCAGCAAGCATAGAGTTTGCAGAAATGGTTGTAAGCCTCAAAATATCAATGGTTTATACATCAGAAGAAAATTTTTTGAATCTGTTCTTCTGTACCTAGTCCCAGGCTACCCATTCATCTCAAGTTGCTAAATTAAACTTCCTGTCCCTTAAAGTTTCAACTTATTACCAGATTGAAAGTCTTTGTTCTTCAAATAAATGCCGACAGTGGTTCATGGTCCAGTCTCAGAGTTTTCATTAGATTGAGGTAGATGAATACAGATCTGTAACAGGTTTTTATTCTACCCTGCCTTTCTTGAAACTAGTGATAATTACCTCTGCATAAGGTATTGAGCTCATATGGTGGACTTGGAAACACAAAAAATTTAGACACCTCTAGTTATGAAACTTTGCATAAATGTTCTGAAAAAAAAATCTGGATTCTAAGGGTCTTAAGTGTACAACACAATTGGCAAGTCTAGTGCTGTGTCTTATTAAATTAACAAATCAAGTCTTGCTCTACCGTTTCAAGAGACTTTATCACTTGTCACGAAATATCCTCAAATGCGGTTAGTGCCTCAAGTGTGCAAAAGGGAAATAGGATGGGGTATGTCCTATCCACTGTGTTTTTTCTCAACAGCAAGAATGGAAAATACTTCTCCATCTACTGAATGGCCCAGAAGTTGGGTCCATCTTAAATGCATTATTTATTAATTTAGTTATTTATTGAAGTACCGTGGGACATCTCTATGTATTTCTTCTGCTTTTTTACCAAGGATCAGAGAACCCCCAAACAGAACTCAGGCTCAGTCTGGTCAAGGTGATTTTGAAGCTTCTCTCTTAAAATAATCTCCAGATGTTTAGCAGTTAACTGTAAAGATACAGCGTTACAGCTGGTTTTATCTGTACATATGCTCCTAATCTGGCAACATGGATGTTGACCAAGTGATATTTTGAAGGACTGTGTTCTCTGAAGGTCCAAACACTTGTTCTTTATTGAGGAGGGAGGAGGGTATATCTCTGCCAGAAACACTTTCCAAAGCAGAATTAATTCCTGATATTACCATATCGGTGCCTGTTGTCACCTTTGATTCTACACCTTTTAATCTTCCCTACTTGGGACCATCAATGGACTTGCAGTCATTTTGTCTGGTCCATCTTCTCCTTTTCCCCAGACCTAAACTTAGTCTTTGTATCTCATCTCTGCATGATGCTTTCCTATTTCACTTTTTTTGTTGATATAGGTCACAGTGGTTGTAGAGAAAGGTGGAGAACTGAGGAGAAAGAAAGGAACATAGGGAAGAAAGGAAGATTTGCTGGCCTTGTAGAAAGTAACTATAGTCAGCCTTTTACAATGACAAGAAAGTACCACTGAGACAATGGTTATCCAAGTATCATTTAACTTAAAGAATCCACTTTCCACAATCCTTCCGAAAATTGACGTTGCAAAATGTCAAGGAGAAGCATAATATACTAGATGTATATAAGGTGCTTTGGTGCCAAATTAAAAAAAAAAAAAAAAAAGAAAGAAAAAAAGAAAATTCTTCCCATCCCCACTCTTGCCTTCCAATCCTAGTTACAGCTTGCAAGGTAGGCAATGCCAACTCTTCTGGGTCTTCTGCTGTTACTAGATGTTGGCGAGACTAATACAGTGTTGGGAGGTGCTATAGTTCAGTCTGAAAGATGTTCAAAACGTGGATGTCTTAGAGCAGCTATGTAATCTTCAAGACAGATTGAAGATCTATCTAATAATCTATTTTATAAAGGCGCTCAAAACCAATACATGTTTTTTAAATGGCTCTGTTCTCTCAGTCATTTAACTAGTTTTGTAGTTGCTCCTTATATTAGTTTCTGCCAGAATCCCCAAGTTTTCAAAGAATCAAGTTAATATGAATTGAGGATGAAACTGTTCTTTTCCATAGAGGAATTCAGATTCTGTGAAAACTTTCAGGTCATTTGATGTAGGCTCCAAGTTTGTAAGGAGGATCCTAAAGGAGAAGTTGAGGGGACTTGAGAAGACGTGTTGTGAGTCTTGCTTGAAGGCAAGAGGATATTTATGATTATTCAACATTTCTGAGCAAAGTACAGTTTAGATTTGTTATGTTGCTGTTATCCATATCAAACCTTTTTACTGCAGAAGATACGACTGGCAATGTACTGGGAAGAAACTGAAGTAATTATTTAGTGTACAGGGGGAAGCTGGCCTAGACTGGGATGGTGACTAAAAGGGTTGGAAGATGACTGAGGAAGGGGGGCATGCAAGGGGCAGAGTTGAGACCACACACTGTTTTGAATACTCTAATTGCATGTATATCAGTAGACCTGTGAGTGCATTAAAATAAAGATAACTCTTCCCAACTAACCAGTGGCCTCAAGGGAAAAGATTTTTTTTTTCCCAGGAAAAGAACTTTGAGTTTGTAAATTATGAAAGCTTTTTATGTTAAATTTCATCTTTCAGTATCGCTGTTTTCCTGTACATAACTGAACTGATTTGACTGCTTGCTGGATTTCTTGTGGCTGTTCAAAGGCTTTTCTTGCAAATCTCTTGGCCTGAATGATGATGATGATGTTCATCCCTCTTACCTCAGATAGGTTCAGAAGAAATAGCTACAGATAGATAGCACCTTGCTATTCAGTGTCCTGTGCTCTCACTTGGGCACAAAAATGGTGATGAGGCTTTTACTACTGCAACGCACACCACCTACAAAGTTCAGATGACTTGTCTTGAAGATGCAGTGACTACACTGGCTATGCTAATGTGCTAGATGCGAAATTTTAGAACGTAATATGGACAATATTGAAATAATTATGTCCAGTTAGTTTTTTAGGCATATTTGCAATCTAACTATTTGTAGAGTTGAAAACTACTATTGTTGTTTTGACTCAACTTGGCAGAATTCACATTCTGTAGATATGCAGATTTACAATTCAAGTGCTATGTAATTTGGAATTACATTGCTATTTGCAGTCCATGAAAGGAAGAAAAGATCAGGAAAGAAGTCTACACATTTATGTAGTTATCCAGTTCCATACACTGCTTGGTATTTATTCCTATATATTAATTGCCATCTAAAATATTAAGCATTTCTGTAAGAATAGAATCTTCCCGTGAGTGTTTTTTACTTACATTCTTGTTTAATGTGTTAAGGTGAAGCATAGTAAATCATTTTCATACACTGGAGAAATAAATATGAGTGCTAAACTTATATCTTACTTTCTGTTTCAAGGCTTCTGGAGCATCTGGAAAAACAGGAAGCTTAGGGAAGAAACCTGGTGAGTCATATATTGTGACAGCACCTTTTTTCTGTTCTTAAGTACTTCAGTTCAATTGCAACAAAATGTCTTCCATGAAAATAAACTGTTTGCTCTTGGTCATTTTGTAGTAATTTGCACTGATGAAAACTGTTGTCTATAATAAAATAATGCCTAATCTGTCAATCATCCTATCTAGCACGTATCAATCACTAAATAGCATGTAGCTCAAGCATAAAAATCCGCTTGCTCAAAAATGAATGTAAACTTCCTGATAGATTGGTGAACAGAACATTGGAAGCCTGCAAAAAGCCCAAGTTTGCCAGTGCCTCTGAAAAAGGAAGTACTCATTCTTACCCTGTGGTTTTACAGTATTTTGCCCAGAATGCCACACAATATGGCATAGGTGGACTTCGTGAGCTCTTGTGCCTGCTTCTCATTTTCCAGACCACATACTTTGTATCCATGCTATGTAGCTTATTGCCTGTCAAGCCTGGTCATATTACAGAAGTTCATGTTGTGGGTTACTTTTTGGCTAGAATGAGGTCCCCTGGCTCTTGGGGTGGTGGGGGCTGTCCTTCCAAACAGCCGTTGTATTTCCAAAGATCATTAGAAAAGTAAATTCTCTGCCACTGGCAGGCATTTGTAAACTTTCCAGAAGACAACTCTTTTTTTTCCCTCAGTGTATTTATTTTCTTTTGTACCAAAGAGGTGACTTTGCATTGAACTGAACCAAACTAAATAGGGGGTGCACCATGCTTCCATTCTGTCTTTTTCTCTGAGGCTTTTTCAGTTGCACAGTGAGGTGGTTCAAGGATGGGATCTACCAAATCTGGCCTTATTTCCACACACACACGCATATATATGCATATTTTGTTTTGTGAGGAGGAGGTTTTGCTTTGTCTCCCTGAACTGGTTCACTGTGTGTGTCAGAGGAGGGGGGGGGGGGGGGGGGAAGATTGAGCCAGC